TCAGCTGTTAAGGATTTAAAACAGCAATGGGCAGCTCCAGTTCTCCAGGGCCTGAGGGCCTGTTTTCAGAGGAAGAATGAACTTTAGTTCATTTACCTATTCCAGTAAGTCAATTCCCTTGATTTTTGTAGGCTTCAATAATTTGGTAGTCAGGAGTTAGCAACTTACATAATGAATAATACCATCAATTATTAGAATCAAAAATGATATTTTTCTAAAAGAGAAATACAAACAGATCTTCACAGAAAAAGCCTTTTTTCTAAACTTGGGTAGAGCTTTGAGTGGTGGGCAGGGCTCTGGACTATTAAGGAGGTTGTGAGGTGCACTCTGCTGTTTTACCCACGAATGAGGTACCATTACTCTCATCCACCTGTCTGTAAAAATGGGTATCAGCATGGCTGAGGGGTACACCCATCTTGGGGTAATTGTGTACTCTGCACTACACCGCAGAAACTGGTAGGTTAGTAAAGAACTGCTTCTGCTTTACATCAATGAAACCTTGTTATTGCTCACTAGGATTGAGAAATACACGCATGTATGTCAATGTCTTCATAGCAATCGTTCCATCTAGTTCAGAGAGCTCCTCAAAGGAGGTTTCTTTTTTTTCCATTGATTTTTTTAAATCACTATACTTTCATCTTGTCCATCCGTAATTTCAAAACCTTAAAGGTTTCTGTGGATGTTTAAACATATGTTAACCACCAATGGCAACTGGTAATATTGCACTAATAGTGCAAATCCCTAGTTCCCTAATTTTCCGTCCTGTAATTGATAAAATGCTATGCCATAAAGGGACTTTTTTTAACTGTTGTGTACCCTAACCCTAGGAGGATTGATGCCCTGCTGAAGCTGATCGATAGACACATCTTGACCAATTTCTCTTGGTTACTTTTGTCTGTTGCTAGTGCCCTTCTTTTAGGACTTATTTGGAATTAATATTTGCAAGCTGCCTTTGTGGAAAGAGTCTTATTCGGGCTTGTCTGTGGAGAAGGGCTGTCTTCTACAATCTGGTGAATGCATTGCGCAATTTAACCTGCAAGGTTCACACTGTCAAAAGTACTTTGTGGTCATACCATGCTCAGGTATATGGTAGAGACCCTCTGAGTAGGCTCCATTACTCATTATTCATATTTTAAACATTACATATAAATAAGCAATTTGGATTTAATTTTCTAGATTGAGTCATGCATTGTCTTGATTAAAAATGTAAAAGTAGGCATTGAAATATCTCATTAAGATTTCTGGTGTTTGTC